TCATTTCATCGAATTGAGGTAAAACACTTGTATGAAGAAACCGACTAAAATTGATCCCAGTGATGAACCCATCGCTACTGCACCCTTTTGTGGATGGATTGTCCCATTGGAAACACGAAACTGAAGGCTATGCATGCATCGCAAGAACCGTTCGTGTAGCGCTTCTGTGGTTATCCTTGAATTGATATTTTCATAGTTCAGATGTATTACAATGAGCTGGATATTTTTTAACTGGTGGTACGTTGGTCAAAATCGATGTTTTATAAGCAGGGAAAGCACTGCTTTATTTGATACAATGATATGTCGCACTGTTTCGACAAACCGAAGCGTACCCCGTAACGCTATTTGTCGATCGCTGTTCCCTTTCGGGTTCGCGGATTGCGGAATGACATGGTATGGTAAATTTGTCATCTCTAGAGTGGGACTAAGGGCACCCCTAAGTAAATCAAATTCCTACAAAGCGTGTTCAAAGTAGAATAAATTTATTTTCTGTTCCCATATAAAATTTTATTGCAACGTGACGAGTATGTGATTCAGTTCACTTTCTGTCTGCACTGATGTAGCACTATCAGGGAGAAGCAAGAATAAACGTGGACAATGAGTTTTTTCCAATGCCGACTGTACCGTTTCGGCTTCGTATGGAACTTTCCCGAGCGGAATAACTCAGTGAACTGGCCAAAGGCGGTAAGTCGAAAGGTGAGGACTTGGTTTGCCTACTTGTTTTACATATGTTGATAGTAACAATCAAAAATATTAGCTCGTACTTTTATGTCTCACGGATAATCGAAATCACACGTGTGCAAAAAGGATATTATAGGACAATTGAGAAGTTAATTTGATGGAATCTGGTGAACTCTAGAGAAAACCTGTCTTGGAAGTCAGCTTACATGCTACCTGGTGGATGCCACCTTCCTCAGTAAGTTGGAGGTATGATTTGAATGTGAAAAGATCGGTGCACTATTGATGTAACTCAGCTGGTAGTGTGCAATTTAGGCGGCTACCGTGCGCCGGGTTCGAATCCCACCGAGGCTACACTGAACATTTTGCAATTTCAACATAGGACTGCCAAATAACTAACTGAACAACGGAGTATGACCGGAAGACGAACGCAAAGTTCAACAAGTAACACAGCTACTTGTCAATAGTGTTTGTGTGACTTACAATGACCAAAACATCCACACCGGCGTCTACCAATGCACNCCAATGCACGAACACGTTCGAAATCACCTTCATGTGTCGAAACAGCACCACCAACTATCAACCGTTGCCTGTTCAATGAGATTAAAATGAGCAGTGATGTGATAAAACCAAGTCAAATTTGTTTATTTAGCATGAAGAAAGCAACAATACACGCGGGTGGAAAATTCAATCATGAGCACATTGGACCGGGGTGTTGGCTACCAAAAAATGACCGGTCAAGTAGAGTAAAATATATATACATATATAGCACCGTCGGTAAACAACTAGTTGTGGGAGCTTCAAAGCACTTTGATGCGTCTTTCTGTGGACGAATTTGTTTTATGACCGTTTGTCTATCTCAATCTTTGTGCCGGCAAGGAAAACGTCCAAAGATGGAGTGATGGAAGTGGGCTATATCATGTGATATTGGCGTAAGGCTGGAGCCAGTCCAGGGGAGCTTGATGCTCACGTGTAGGACTTACAACCCTGCACATCTAGATAGATTTTTGATAGCTTTGCAATACCAGCTGGATGAGGAGGGAGTGCCATTTTGATATTGCGCTCTAACGATTCAAGTTCATACTGGTAAAATAAATCTCCTCGGATGAAAAAAGGCAATCAGTGAGAACACGCGAGTAACGCAGTTCACGTAGAATGAACAAAAGCCATACCTGGCAGAATGTATTCACTCAAATTTGATAATCTGTTATTCAGCTCGATGAAATGTTTAAATTACAAGGCAGAAGTAAAGGAGGATACAAATCGATTTGATGACGCTTGTCGTGTACGGATCAAACGAAGCGTGAGAAGCTAGGCTACGAAGCGCCCCCTCCCTCCCCCGTACAGCTGTTTCGACCTGGTTCGGTCCGATCAATGGGGCGACTCCATTAATCCAAATGAGGATTGAGCCCGGGACCTTACATGTAAGATGTAAGTATACCACCGGCTCGATGAACAGGGAACTGACCAGATTGTTTCTGCATAATATAGCATTAATTATGTTGGCATACCTGTTACGGCCAGCTCAGTAGTATCCAGGGTTCATTCGGTCAAAACTAAGCCGGGCCTGACTGTTACAGCTGTAGTGCTTGCTGAATTTTAAATGAGTGTTTCCTTTGTTTAGCATACAACGAAATGTATTACTGGATGTCTCTAGTCAGATATTACAAGAGTACACTTTCAGTTTTCAGTTTGTACAACCATTAACCATGCACTTTCGTGCGCCGGTTTTGGTTGCCCATTTGGATGAAGAATAGGAGAAAGTCAGGAAGGTTGAAAGTAGAATAGAAGAGAAAACTGGGAATTTCAATGATCTACTGTTGCAAGGAAACTGAGCAGATGCACGAACGCCACTGTTTACGATACACAGCGATATCACTGTGTCTCTAACCGTCGATTACGATTGTCCCGAGTTCCCTTTTCAGGGAGCCTAACGGGACCTATATGACCCAGATTCTTGGTTAGGGTTTTCATGCCCTCATGCCAGGTCTTAGCTTGACCACCCTTGGCTTTATTCCACCCATTATCTGCCTCGGCGAACATCGCTCGCCGGTGCAACCTATCTGGTGACATACGTAACACATGCCCAAACCAACGACATCTGTGGAGGTCGACCATTGAGGTGGAAACAGTCACTCAAATCAGTGTCCCGCAATCTGAGGACACTTTGCAGCGGAGAGAGCACCACGGATGATTGACGCACAGAAGTCGAAGGTGTGTCCATAACAGGGTGAACATTCGAAGGTTAAAAAGTGAATATAAACTGACCCGCATACTTGGTCGTTTCAGTAGGTGCGGACGAGTGGAATAAGATCAAGAAAATCTGATGCTAGCTACACAAATAGCAATAAACGATACGATTAGAAAAAATAAAACGTTTGCACGCAGGCCAGGGTTTGTTTCATTCGTCCACTGGCTAAATGAATATTTGATATTCGACTGAAGATGGCATAGAAGTCAGCATGAAAATGAAAAAAATGGTCATGGTAGGTTAGGATGATGTAACTTTGACGGATGTGTGTGAATAAGTGAGGCTCCCTGGAGAAGGTGCACATTTATGTCATCGCATTGAAAGTGAATGGCTACGGATAGCCCCAAGTTCTAATAAAATACTTCTGAGTATCCGAATAGAAGTTGTGAATGTGGACAGTAAATGCCCCAGTCAGTGACAGACTTAAACTAAGCCTCTTTTGATAACCATTCTTAGGACAGCTTAGGAGAGAATGGGAACTCCGAGTAGTAGACTCCGCGGGGGTTTCTAATTCCAATCATTCCGATCCTGGTCACTTCTTGACTCAGTTATCCGGAATGATAGATACCCTTTGATGGGATATGAAAGATGTATTATTAGTTGATCCATGGCTTTTGTCACACACACACACACACACACACACAAAGGAATCAGAAGTACCTTAATTTTTTTTAGTTTCGCACGTTTATTTATGTGCCAAAGCCTTCTCATTTTTAGAAATGAAAACATCCTTGTACCCGTTAACGCTCTCAATTTCAAAAAGAGAATTCGTCGTGTATAGAACAGATGAACCGTGACCTAAAAGGCTAGGAAGCACTCATTGTACAGTCGTTTTGACCTGGTTGGTTCTCATCAGCAGTGCGAATCTATATACCGATCTGGGATATATATATATATATATGAGTCACAATAACCTCATTTGTAACACCGGGTGAATTTTTGAATAGCTCCATCAAAACCAGCCCATGGAAGAAGCAACACCATGATTTGATTATCAGCAGATGCCGCTAACCGCGACTTAAGCGTCTTCATTGAAAATTTTACTATGAGTTGTATATGAATGACCGGACCAAATTTCCCTGTAACCACACGACCGGTTTCGCGGTTCTTATCGCTCGTCAGGCATGCGTATCCGGCAGTCTTTTGATCTCTCATTCATATACTGACGAGTGGCGAGAACCGCAAAACCGGCTGTTTTTTCAGGGATATTTTGTCCAGTCATTCATAGACTACTTGTTGTAAAATATATATCATACGCATCTAAGTCTAGACTGTGTACCAAATAAATCACGGTACAACAATCTGTACGACGAAGAAAAAGGTCGATCATTTGCTAGTGAGCGAAATACTGGTAAGTTGCCCAGGTGAATTTTCTTAGGGAATTCACGCATAACACATCACAATTCGGCGGCAGTCACTTCCACTCCGCACATCGCTTTGTNTAAACCACGTAAATCTAACCGGCAACCCAAGGTGGATTGGCATCTGGTATCAAACGTTGCGCAAGCGAGTCCACCCGTACTAAACCCATGAATGCTTTTCGCACCTTTAGAATGTACAGTGAGTGATCTTTTAGTGAGTGGTCAGATCTAACATCGTACTGTAAGTGTGAAGTGGCTCATCCGACACATGAACGCTTGCACTTAGATAGATATATATCTGCCACTAAGAGTTCGAATCGGTATGCACATAAACAGCGGTTTGACTTGTCAGATGACTGACATCATCACGCTGTTCACCCGTCCGTTTCGGAAGTGAACGTACACTGCGGTGAGTTGGGTGCGGATAAGGGATTAGTGGTACCGATAATAAGAATGATAATAATATTAGTAATAACAATTGTACAGCGTAATATAATGAAGCGAACCCCACTGATCGTAACCAAACTCAACGCATACAATGCAAGTGACAATGGGTAAGGAGGATAGGGATTGGGCCTATTTTTAGGGATGGGAACCTCTATGGTCAACACACAGAGTACACAGTTCAACTGTAAATACACAAGTTTTCAAGCATTCTGGTCTGATAAGAAATGACAACAAGAATGTCACTGTTGTCGGTTTGCCGCAATGTCGTTCAGTGTCTCCAACCATCCAATTACGGAGTCTTTTGGATCCCAACCCGGAAGACGAGAGACACCTACTCTACCTAATCGCTCTGTGCATTTTTTCATGCCTCGTCTCCACGTGGCTTTCTCTAGTTTGGAGCGGCCACTGCAAATAAGGCACAGTGCGGTTGGCGATCGTTAAACATATGCCAAAGGTATCCTAACCAACGGATCAGATTGAACTGAATTCGATGCTATAGCTAGTTCTTGTTCGATGCATTCCCAAACACCCCTGACGACTTACTTTTAGGTTACTAACCTAGTAATAATAATAATAATAAAACTTACTCAGAATCTTTGGACGAATGAGGATAATCTGTCGTTTTCTTCAAATCCGTGCGTGAGATCAAAGCGACAAGTTCACGATTATCGTTTATGATCGGCAGTTTCCCTACAAAAGAACATGTATCACAGTAGATTGCGCAAAAACGAATGACAATATGAAAAATCCGAGTCTAGTGTTGAGACGGAAGTAACTCACATTACTATATATGTATGTACATCATTTGCAAATTTCTTCAAGGTAATGGTCCATGGAGTAAACATTCGAACAATATGTAAGCTGCGTTAAATATAACATCAGCTTCGTAAGACCAGTTAGTTTAACAGTGTTGTGATACAAGATTTTCTTACAATCATTTTATAATGTTGCCTTATGGGTCTTTTCAGACAATTAAAAAAGACTCCTTGGAAGAGCGGATCTGTGTTACACAGCGCAGATAGGGGAACAGATGACAATTCAAGGGTAACAGTGATTAGGGTGGGCCTAGGTTCACTGAATATGCGGTCGCAAACGATCAGCGGCAATACCTGAGGATGTCGTGGGTTTAGCACTCGATAAAAATCACATTTATCTGTGAATAGCGCTTGAGGTGGCGAAACGGGGCCAACCATTAAACGCAACCATTGCCCCTAGTTGCGTTCCATTTACCTGATAAGGTTCTATTATAGAGGGAAATAAACTACGCAAGTGGTCATCCGCTCATCTGGAACAAATACCGCTGCCTTGCAGTTCGCGAAAAGGCCAGAGTGAATCCTCAAGGCAAGGCGGACTACGGGCCGAGCGATTAAATAACACAACAGACCACAACGCATACTACTGTGAACTTTATTGCAACATCAATTCTGTACTCTAAGCATTTCTTTATAACTAAGGCTAACTCTAAGCCGTACTTCCCCACACCAGTCCCCCATCATCTTTCATGTCATTCCCACTCTTCCCACACCTATTCACTTCCATTGGGAACTTCAGATGACTGTACTAGCAGTAGTGTCTCAGATAGAAATCCTACTCCTGGTTTGTCGCTTCCTATTTCAACTACCATTAAAGTCACACCGAATCCTAGTGCACCAACCGCAGCTCCTCTTGGGCCTCGATCTCCTTTACAACCGTCTAAGACCTGGCACGAGGGTATGAAAACCCTAACCAGGAGACTGGGTCACATAGGTCCTGTTAGGCTCCCTGGCTGGGGATCTCGGGCTGATCGTAACCGATGGTTAGAGACACTGAGTGATAAGGCTGGGTGTCGTAAACAGTGGCGTTCGTGCATCTTCTCAATTTCTTTGCAGCCTTAGACCACTGAACTTCTCCATTTTCTGTTCAACTCCACTTTCAAATTTTCTTTTTTTCCCCTATTCTTCTTCCAAATGGGCAGCCAAGAGACAACAACCAAAACCAGCGCACGAAGATGCGTGGTTGATGGTTGTACAAACTGAACTGAACTGAACCAACCGGTCACATTTATCATTCAGGTCCTGATGTGAATGGGACAAGAGGTGTGTTCAGCTTCAGACCCTAACCACTGATATGTGATGCATCCAAGAAAGCCGCTTCCAATACTCCAACTACATACTACGAAGGACACCCTCCCTCCACTCCCGTTGAATTGGTTCCTGGAATATCAATTACGCCTTTCTAAGGATCCTGGGGTTATTGCTTCTGGTCTTGGCACGGCTCTCAGTTGGAGAGCTAAAGTGACACTAGCGGACAGAAACCCAGTGAAACTCAGATTTTCTTATAAAGTCAGCAATGAACGAGTTTGTCTTTCCCAAGGTTTTATTTAGATACGGTAGAATAAAGGTCTGAGAACTCAATCCTCCAATGTTCGGCACATCAAGCTAATCTCCTCGCCACGGGGGATAATAAAACCTGAGCAATGACTGCACTAACCATAGGGGTTTAAGTAAAATCCCGATAGTGTCAAAGTTTTTAGTGTCCGTTATTCTTCTCAGAGTAGACAATACGCGTGAAGAGCACACCTGCGAAGATATGGCTAGGTTTTGCACCGGCTGTGAATGCATCGATCAACTAGTTGCCTTCCGACAGTTTCAGGAGCACCGTCACGCTTTCCGAAAATCGCCGACCTTGGACGTTCGTTCGGCCTTCAAATCTGTGGACAGGATTGTGCTGAAAAATTGTTCATTGCGAAATGGAATACCTGAGAAGCAAATGCCTACTTTCTACGAGTTGCATCGTCAAAACTGTGGTCGGATTGGAGCCTAGACCTTTATCCTTTGTGGTCTCAAGCGTTTGATAAGACTTCTTCATACCCCGCCTCAACTTTGCCACGGAGCATGTCATACAGAATGACTTGTCCAGTTTAGCAAATAATGGGTTTAAAATCCAACAAGGGAATAGAGTTTTGAATTAACATGCGCGGATAACACTGCCCAGCTGGAATAAAAATACATTTGCAGGCCAACACATTCTCAGCCGCTTTACGACTGATGTGTTCAGATGTCATCTTGCCACTATTTAAATGCTAATGCTATCTAATGCTACTTGCATAAGAGTCAGTGCGACATTCACCATTTGTGGTGATAGGCTAGAGATATCCGGGAGTTTTATCATAGCTTAAGGTGGTATTTGAGAGGAGGTCATACCACTAAAAGTGAAAGATAGAATAGCGTTTGTTGACATGCGGTTCCTGTGGTGCTACGGTGACTTTCGACTGTCGCATAAGGGAAGAGTGTACATTGCCGTGTTTCGCAATGTTTTGCTTTACGTCTACGAGAACCGGATTCCCCGAGCTGAGTATGCTAATCATTTTTCTGCATTCCACTCTTCGCATGAATTGAGCGAGGCTGAAAGAATGGACGAAGCATTCGGCCCATAACTTGGTGCAGGAGATTGAGGAAGTTCGCTTTGATATTGATTTCGTTTGCTGCAGATCGCTATCCAGGTGGGAACCCGGAGGGATCAGGACTGCTGTTGGTTGAGAATACAGAGATATGCCTCAGCTTTGCAGTCAATGGCACGAATGTTATGCGACCAGCCCGTTGAAATCATGTGACCCAGGAAAACAAAAATAAAACAGACAGAAAAACATCAAAGTGTAAGGTGAAACGTAAAATAGCACCATAGTTATTACCATTGCTGTTCTTTATTAACTGTTTCTCTTCAGTTCTCCATAAGAGCTCTACGGTTCCCTAACTTATCAAAAATTCTTATCGGCAGCGATGAGGTTCCGAGGGAACTTTCAACGATAAACCTTGGTGTTTGAAATTTTAATTCCAGTATAGGCCCTTATGAAAAGAAAAATCCTGAAATATGTGTTTGAGCAATGTATCCGTAATCATTTCACTACACCTGTACACGTNCACGTGCGCATTGCACTGAAGGGGATTTTCCTGTAATGCAAATAACGAAAGTAAAGCGAATGCGCGATTGCCAATAAAATGGGACACAAAATAGGACAAACGAACGGGGGCGGTTAGTCAATCACCTAGGCAAAGTGAATGTGACCAATTACGCGTAATCGAAGGTCTCAGTGTGTTCCGATCAGTCGATCACCCAAATGTTGCAAATTTGCTGTTGGTTACATTAGTGTCTCTCTAGTCCATTCATCCAGGGGTTATTTACAACAGAACAAACATGAAATTACCGAGCTATCCTGGGGCTCTGGCTACTCAGAACTGCCGATCTATTCAAATAGTGAGAATGGCTGATCACACATATTTGCCTTGCTTTGGTGATCGACCAACACTCCAGTTTGTTCTTCCTAATTCGTGCTGACCGATTTTACTGGAAATCTTCCGTTCTTCCACTTTACTTTCGTTATTTTCATCACTGAAAAGTCACATTCACTGCCGTAGGCCGATATAGTGAAATGATCACGGATACAATGGACAAACCTTTGTTTCAGATTTCTCTATTCAAATTTGTGACAGGAAAACCGAGTGTTCAATTAACCATTTTATTTTTCGTTGTCTGCGACACCTTTCCAAGTGGTTAAAAAAGCTGTACCCACAGGCTCAATCCAGTGCAATACAACTGACGACCAACGAACAGTCTGTTCACCTCTGTTTGGTGTTACCGTGGCTGGTTCACTTGCGAACTACATGCCAAGTTTCCGAGTTGATCGGACTCCACAGGACAGATGAATGTACACGGCTGATCCTGTCAACAAGAGTTCGAACTGACATACTCTCTTGTTTGAGCAGTTTCTTTTGTGTACGACAATTCTGAAATCCATTTTTTGAATTAAAAAAAAATTTAACACGTAGTGGTCACTTAAAGCAATAGGATCATAAATAAAAATCTCGTACTTCACTGCAACGGCAACGTGAAGCCTATTTTAAGATAAAGGGAAAGACAAACAAAAATTTCAAGGATTTTTCCAACGCATTATTCGTCATACAAAACTAGTCGAGAGGATATTGATGAAACTGAGACTTGAAATAGGAGGGGGAAGGCTAACCTTTTTTACTCTTCTGTAATATTTTGTGAGCGTCTTGAAGAGTTACGCCAGACTGAGCAGTGACCAAATCGTCGAATGGAGTCATGAGCTGCTCGGAAGAGGGGAACGGGGGAACAACAAGGTGTTGAGAGACGGATGCAGAATAATCAGCAAAGTCAAACTCGAAATCTCCGCTAGTCTGAAGAGTGAACTGGCTCACAGATATTGCCACCCAGTCATAAGTGATATGAGAATGATGCAATTCCTAAGCCCAAACATGCATCCCCCAAAACTATACCAAGCACGAGATGGACCCCATCTTTCCATCTTGTCGTTCGGACAATGCTCTCAGCAATTTAACTCCTCCACTTCCTCTTCCTTCCTCACTGATCAACCGGATCGGTAGCTGGAAGACAGCAAACAAAGACGACGCACGAAACTGTGAGTAAAACTAGTGGTTGTGAAAACTGAAACTGCGAGACAGTTGTTAGTAAAAATTGATGCGATCATCGAAATTCTGATCGACCTACAGACGTCGCAACATTTCCAAAGCCAACAGATGACAACATTTATGTAGTTATTTATTGAATAATTTCCTCTGAAGGTATCATTTAGAACGTTTCGCATGGACAATAAAAAACGTAAACACAGAATACAACTGCGACATTCAAGCAACTGCGCACTGAAGCGAGATTGAAAAAGAAAGACAAACCTCTTGAACTGGGGTCTCCATTGTATCATTATTCACGAAGTCAATATCTCTGAGCGTGATCAACCCGACCAGATGTCCTCCAATTTGACCATTGTCCGTTACCGGGATACCACTAAATCCATGCTCCTTCTTGATTCGGAAGATCTCGTGAATTGGTGTAGTCGGCGAAACAACGATCGGGGACAAAATAAATCCTTGTTTGTATCTCTAAAATAAGTGGCAGAAAGTCAAGTAACGTCCAATATATCTTGTTAATTATGAAACAAAAATCTAAATTTTCAATGCATTTGAAATATTTCAAGATTCATCAAATGCCCGATCAACAATGGCCTGGTCTTTTATGCGGTGCAAAAACGGTGAAGAACGGGAGATGATAGGCATAAACGGAAAACGATAATTCAAATAAAGAATTTCCGATTAAACGTTTTGTTTGTCGTACTTTTAGAAAAATTTGAAAGATTAGGCAAAACGAAGGAATATTATATGGAAAAGCCCTGAACATTTTAGATGTTCAGGCAGATCCATCAAAATGAAAGGCCAATGATTGCTCTTTTCACCGGTATTCTGATAATTTACACCTTACCCACGAATGAGGAACTGTCGTTTAACGACCCCACATTATTAGCCATGACACCTCGGATAGTTGAAGAAATAATAGCAGCAATTGAAAGGCACGAAATAAAAAGCAAACGCCCTCACCGTAGAACATCTCATTCGTCCCATGATGATTAATAACCAAACGTAGGATTTTGATTCCCAATAGTCAATAATAGGTGCAATACAACCATTGCTATGGTGACGTTACACGGGAGGGATACATTTGACTTTATCAGTGAAACTACTTGACCTTGTTTACACACCCCCTTAATAATCCGCATTAGGATTGTAACAACTAAATGTCTCCCTGTGTCATACTGTGCGACTAACTAAGGGGAAATCCCAATGTGAACAGTTTAGAAAAGGGATCCACATGGGCCGATATTTACCATTCGAATCGAAAGGAGTGAGTGTTGTTCAAAGCCTAATGGATGAAACAGAAGTATCAACAACTAAGATGACTAACTACGGAAAGTGAAACAATCATGCGAGATTTGGAAAACAACGAATATTCAAATGGATTCATTTAACATGTAAAAAGGGAGAATATACCAAGGATTGTGGTCGAAAAAGACAGACTAAATGTACACGTTTGTATCGCATTGTCGAAACACGGTGGGAGACAAACGACGAATTTTGAAACCATGAATAAGATCAATGCAACATTGATTAAATTTGAATATGACATTCCAAAATCAGGCTAATCAAATATAATCTCTCACATTCCGTGCAGCGTTCGACCAGAAACAAAGCAGACCAAACTATCGTACCAGTTACGTGATATCGTCCTCCACACACAAACGCACCAACGGACATGGATTTTGCATTCGCATAGATTAAAAAGAACTAACTGCATTCCACTGCTAACAAACAATTCTCCGGGAATTCGATTTATCGAATTGAAAAGGCCCTCCAAGATCTAAACAAGATCATTAATACTATTCCAATATCGTCGCGAATACCAACAAAAAACGATTCTTCTGTTTACTATTTAAGTAAATTCAGGATTTCTCATGTAGAGGGGATGAAAACGATTCACTATGATCTTACTGTTCATACTCACCACTTCAAGCATTCTGATTTGGTAATAAATGATGATGATGATGAGAACACCACTGGGCATATCCTTCAGTATCTGCAGTCAACGACTGCAGGCTTTCGATCTCATCCAGGAAGACGGGAGATACCCACTCAATCTGATCTTTCCATATGCTTATTCTCATTTGCGCGTCATCTGTTGATCTTCATGTGGTTTCCTCCCCCTGTGGCAATAACTACAGTCAGGGCGCAGTGCGATTGACGGCTGTCGGGCTTCAGAAGAACGTGTTGAACAAATGGTCTATGTATTCGAATGTATCGCAACAATGAATGCCCCTCCGATAAACTTCCATTTTGAAAGCATGCATTACGTCTTGGCCAAGCGGTCGCACCATTTCAGTGGTATTCAGCGGCAAAGGGAGAAACTAGATGTGACAGCGCGCTGCCAACAATGAGCATAACATGGTGGTCCTCACAGTTAATTGATGACACGCTGAAGAACAGCGAAGAAGCCAGTCGAGTCATTTGACTCCACCACCAGATGACAGACAGCGCAACAATGGTCGTCAAGCAACCGGGTGGCTGCGACTTTCTGATATCTAGTGTTTCATCAAATTCGCTCAGAAAAATGCAGTAACTAGCAACTTTAATCCCTCTTTGCTGTGCTTCTAGCATTTGACCAGTAAATAACCGGTTTTAAGCTTCTCGATTCAGAAAAAATATTGGTGCGTCTTGAGACGCGTGAAAACCAACATAGATTGCTCACGTTGAACACAGTTTCTACGTTTCCACTAAACACATCACCGTAAACGCTGTGTCTGACTCCGAAGTGCTGCAACACTACGTGAGAATTTCCGAAGCTAGTTCGGTGCATTTCGGTTCCGCATCACATTTCTACCGTTGAATATTATACTAGATAGAGTACTTCTTGCTCGAAGGTGATAATGGCTTAACTTATTGTTACACCGTGTAATCGATCGGTGGGATAACATCATTGACTGACACATCCACAATTGCTATTCTTGCCTTTATTCTTTATCTCAACGGGACCGCGATCCCCATGGATAACATTAAGGACGTATTCTAGTGACTTCATGCTTCTCTGTTAGAAAACTTTGATGTAGTCCTCTCTCATTTTCGTCCATTAAGGCGTCCCTAAGCACAATACCCAGCAGCTGATTCTGTTCAAGAAGGATTGTCAATCGTGAGGGTAAGGGAAAACCCAACGACCAAAGAAAGTAAGCAGCTAGTGAGGGCACAGTGCAGCGCATATACATGAGATAAATGTAGCCCGAACTTGTGTGCAGGGTGAAAATAGATAGATGAAAAGAAACTTTCTCACTTCACGGGAAGCAACTGTGTTTTTCATCAATCAGGGAATAGGGAATGTGTCCAAGCTGCCGCGTCATTTTGATTGATTCACATTTTTGACTGAAGTGATAGGTAACTTATTCGAGGCCGCTAATGTGCTATCGGATGGAATGTCCACAGTAGGAAGGTTAGTGTTTGGGTCCATTGCGAGGTGCAACATTGGAAGACTTGTCCTTTAAATGGTTCATGGGATCCGTGACTTTAAGGTGGCGTCTCTATAAAAGTTGTTTTTGTAGGTGTGACATTGCAAGCTCTGATTTTAGTTGTACTTAACATATGTTTGGAACGCCTGTAGTCCTGAACAAGCTCAAATTCTAGAAAGTGAATTATCATGCTCAAACTGAAATGTTTAATATTTGTTACTGATAACAACCATTAGTTTCACACACTGGACTTAATTCATCTAAATTTTAAGGACGTCAGACTTGGTAAATGATCTATCAACACTTTTAGGATCGAAAATTGCCTTGTCTTAAAAAGACAGTGCGACTTTGCTTTTTACATCAGATTTTTCATATATAAAACAGCACTAACCTTTGTCCTTCGAACTTCGTTGGCTTGAAAATCCACTGAACAGTTGTGATGAACAATACCGATTCCTCCACGGAGCTGTAGCCAAGATCGATGAGTAAGATGCTATTCAGATGATAAAACTCACAGCCATAGCAATCGCCATATTCCCCTCGGTCACTGTGTCCATAGGTGAGGATACAAAGGGTACTTTGAGGGATATATTCTTTGTTAATCGACAAGTAGTATCGATATCTGAGGCTCCACAATGCACAAATCCCGGAAGGATAATAATATCACTAAAAATTGGTATTCATCTATGACAAACACACTTGTAGGTGAGTCCCAATTTTGGATCAAACAGCTCCTTTGCAGTGCATCCATCTGAATCAACCAAGTCCCCCATGGGTTGTTTTGGAGTGTTCATATTCGCATCCTGGAATCCGTTAAATAATTTTGCAAATGTAATGAAGCTGATCAGTATCACCACTTTCCACATAACTGTTCAGATTCTATTTATTATTTTACCGAACTTCCGTTGAATACCTTCGAATTAAAAGGTGCTTCGTTGCCGATGAACTAACTGAATTTCGAACTTCAGTCTCATGAACAAATTAAAGTCAAACTTTGCGAATTTAATAAAGGTATACAAAGAAACAGAGGAACAGAAAATCTTGTTTGGCTTTATAGAACTATCGAGCAGATTGTAAGTAACAACACAACCTTAGTGTACTTCAGAGATAATTGGTTTGAAGAAAGTTTAATTCTAAAGTAGAATTAGAGTTTTAGAAAACTGGAAAGCTATACACGAAATAAACTAATCTATGCAACTGACAACTCGAAAATGTATGGCATCCTTTTTCGGGCGAGAGTAGTTTTACTCACGTAGATCTGATGGACATCGATATAGCTTAGCAGTTTGAGACCATTATTCAATCTGAAAAAGCCGCTATATTAAATTTGCCGATGGATTACTCATTGACGTAATCGTAAGATACGATCAATTTAGTTTTCGAAGGTTTGGATAATGTTTTAGACATATGTCCCCACATTGTTATAGTTCTGTCCCTTCTTAGTTAGGTTTTCCTCATACTATCCGTCATGAAAATACTCTCAGTCTGAGAAGACTGTTGTTGTGTTGGAATCAAAAAGACCCATCGGAAACAACTTTCTGAATAAAAAACAAAACTAGTGGTATGCACACGCTGTGATCTAGCGAGGTAACACGCAAGTAAAACTCTGTTTTTGATTACACTTGCAAAGGATTGTAGATGTATTGCCATATGTACATGACTCAATGAGTGAATGAATCCATTTAACAATTCACAATTTATAAGTATCAGCTACCTAGCGTAGACCAGATCTAGGTGGGTTATAACCCACCTGTCAATACATCAGCGCATCTGTTCACCGTTATTTCTCTCGAGCAATTGCGTTTTTTTTAAAAAACAACCTAACGAATTTAAAGCAGGGTTTTGCTGACTTTACAGATTACCCAATTGTTTGTCTTTTAGTACACACTATAGTGTGATGAACAGCAGTCGGGATAAACCCCATAGTCACGGGGGCCTACTGTTCAAGGATGAAAAGCAGTAACCCAAGTTCCGGGACTTGTAGTGGCGAAGTACATTAGGCCTCGCTGGGCCAGGCGGGACGATAGTAAAGCTGCCTACCACCAAAGATGAACCATAGAGTCCAGAGCACGAAAGTGACAGCGACTAAACCACTGCACCGCGAGTACCAGTATACACAACAAGTGTAAAAATATACATACTGTACGAA